AATTTATTATTTGTTGAGAAAACACATAAATTCAATTCGGCAGGTAGCGCGTTAATATCTAACATTTTAATGTCCAACGTTCCGATGAATGGAAGGCGATTATCGGAGAGTAAATCTCATATACCTTGTCAACGTCCGTTCCGCTCTCGCCCGGAAATCCACCGCCGATGTCGATCAACTGCACGTTGTCGCACCCGATTGTCTTGGAGATAGCAACTAATTGTTTGCACAATGCGATCCCTCTGGCGTAAGCCTCGAACTCTTCGCACGGGCTACCGACATGAAAGCTGAAGCCGTATAAATTCAGACCGAGATCTTTCGTGAGCTGTATCAAGCGCACGGTTTCCTCATCCGGTTCGGAGCCGAATTTCAACCCCAATACTACATGCGCCTTCTTCGCATCGCAACGTATACGTATAACAATTCTGCCAATAGATTTTCGTATAGACAAAATCAGATTACATCTCATTGTATGTTAAAATTCATTATTATCGTAACATTATTTTACGTACTTAGCTTCAGGAAAGAGTTCCTTGATCTTGAATAACTCGTCTTCTCCGTCGACCGTCATCTGCTTGACGCCCATTTTTTTCGCGTATTTTATATGAGACGGATACTTGGCTGGATGCGCGAAAATAATCCTATCGCCGTGTACTCCATGCTGCATTACCATTTTAATTTCTTCCTGTTGAAAAGATAAGAATTATTTTTAAATAATTTTGATATACAGTTAAAAGAAGACTTGTTAAAAGAAAATTGGAGGCTTTACCATAGATGCACAATCAAAACAGGCATTCAAAGCTACAAGTACTTTAACTACCGTTGGATCCGGATTAACTTTAATTGCTAAAATTGAAAATAAAGTTAATAGTTAATTAGATTTAATATTAATTAAGATTCAATATTGTAATAAATGCATTACTGAAAGCATAAAAAAAAAGAATTTTAGATACCATAGTGTGGAATAATTCTCGGTAATTTGGTGATCCATTCCTGATGTTTTTTTATGAGAGTACCAATATCTGCAACATAAAAAGCTGCTTCTCGGTATTCCGTCAGAGTTCTAATAATGTCCATATTATCTAATGAATCGTCAAAGACTTTTATTTCATCAAAAGTAAATTGTGCCATGTTGAAACGTACAAGATTTTTGGAATCTTTAATATAAACAACCTTCCTGAAAATATTTAAGAATATATTACTTATTTTCTAAGAACAATTTAGAATCCCTTTTTTTATTTTTATAGGATATAATTTATATTTTAATTATTAATAAAACAATATGCTGCAATTTCTTGTTTTTATATGATATTCACATTTCAAATATTATCAAACTTTTAGATTTAAATCTTGATTTCAAAAATAAATTGTCACATTATAATACATAAAACAATTTTATGATGAAATAAATATTTTACACATACACACACACACACACACACACACACACACACACACACACACACACACACACACACACACACACACACACACTATATATATATA